AGAAGAATCACATTTGTGAAACTCAATCCAGAGTTTAGAAAAAAAAAAAAAGTACAAATATACATTAGAACATTTGTGTTTTATCAGATTTAATTTTTCTACAAGGTTATACAAGATATAAAAAAAAAGAAATCTGTTCTGGATTTTTCCTTTTTTCTTAATTTTCCCCCAATATTGTAACAAAGTTCACTCCATAAACATCCATTTCCCATGACTGCTGGCAAATGAACTTTTAGCTAATTTGGAGCAATGAGCTTTGATCAACAGTCTCCTTTGGAAGGTTATAAAAAAACTGAACTAAAAAATAAAGTTTAAATATCTGAGGGATTGCTGCAAAGACGATGACATCATTTGGAAATTAAATTGACCAATTACACTAAATTTGATGACTTTATCAGATAAAACCTGAATATTGAATTAATAAATGTAAGCCTGTCAGTATGATAACATTGATTTATATGTGTGCCTCTGATTGGGTTCATCTTCTGAACAATTGGGTTGGACTGCCCCCTTGTGGACAAAGCTGGCAGCTAGTCTGCCTTCAGTAGAATGTTATAAACAGTCTTAAAGTAGTCAGCAGTTTGTTTGCGTCCTGTTATTAATTTTTCAGAGCTTCAGGACTGTTTAAGTCAGACGATGTTCATTTCCAGGTGAAACAAGCAGTCATCTGGGCTCTGGAGGCTGGTTACCGTCACATCGACTGCGCAGCCATCTATGGGAATGAGGTGGAGATTGGAGAAGCTCTGCAGGAGACGCTCGGCCCAGACAAGGTAAACAGCCTTTCCCCTCAGCTGCCGTTCTTACCGTTTGGGTTTCTGAAGATAAATGTTCCAAAGCACAGAACAATCCATGAACTTTTATGTTTTTATGTCATTCGTTTTGTTGGTACGTGATTTAAAGTTACACAACGCAATCTGCTTTATAAGCTCCTTTCTGTTTTCCTCAGTCTCTGAGACGAGAGGATGTCTTCATCACCTCCAAGCTGTGGAACAACCGCCATCATCCTGACGATGTTGAGCCGTCCCTGCTGAAGACGCTGAAGGACCTGAAGCTGGAGTACCTGGACCTTTACCTCATCCACTGGCCCTACGCCTTCCAGTAAGAGCAGCCATTGCTGCAGACTAGCGCTGAACTCCTGGCGTCATGTAACGCTCCTTCTCTCCATTTGCTAGACGAGGCGACGTTCCTTTTCCCAGAAAGGAGGACGGTACCTTGCTGTACGACGACACGGACTACAAGGTGACCTGGGCGGCCATGGAGAAGCTGGTGGAGAAGGGCCTGGTTCGATCCATCGGCCTCTCCAACTTCAACAGCCGGCAGATCGACGACGTCCTGTCTGTGGCCAGCATCAAACCCACCGTCCTTCAGGTACGTGGCGCGAGTGAAGAGGACGGGCCAAAGGCTGTCTGCTGAGGTGACCTCTGTACGTTGGTCTGGCAGGTAGAGAGCCACCCGTACCTGGCCCAGGTAGATCTGTTGGCGCACTGTCGGGATCGGGGTCTGGTGATGACGGCGTACAGCCCTCTGGGTTCCCCCGACCGGGCCTGGAAGCATCCAGACGAGCCCATCCTGCTGCAGGAACCCGCCATTCTCTCACTGGCAGAGAAATATCAAAAGTCTCCTGCTCAGATCATCCTGAGGTGAGTTCGCCGGCGGTTGGAGGAACTCCCACCGGGTCCAATGTTCTGAGAGGAATGCTGCTTTGATCTAACGCCCCTCGGTCCAATTCACTATTTCTGATTGGCCGTCAGTGTTTGGATGAAACATATGGAAGAAAAACAGTCTCATTAGAATCTACCTTTTTTTGTACACTGAATTTTAAACACTGATTTTTTTTTTACACATTGAATTCCTTACGCTGAACGTTTATTTGGTATAAACACAGGTGCAAATAATTTGACTGCAAATGTGTTGACCTTTCTGGTGAACTTAAGCCAATGCAATCTACATTCGATGCAGTCAGTTAGCTTCTAGCCAATGAAATGATCTCATTTGGTCATGTGACACAACAGTTGAACATAACTTTGTTCCTGAATGAAGCTGAATGAGGAGTTTTTCACAGCTGGTGCGGCTCCCCTGACTGCCAAGGCTCTCGGCTTGATCCGGAACAAGCAGCTGGCGGCAATCTTTTTTTTCTTTCTATGACCAAATGAGCTCATTTCATTGGCTAGAAGCTGCTCGACTGCATCGAATGTAGATTGCGTTGGCTTGAGTTCACCAAAAGGTCAACACATTTTCAGTCAAAATTTTTGCAGCTGAATTTTCACCAGATAAAAATTTAGTGTACAAAAAAAGGCGGATTCCAATGAGACTGTTTTTTCTTTCTTAGAAACACAACAATATCACTTATACAGCTTTGCACTAAGATGAGGTGATTTTATGTCCATTAATTGGTATTTATGCAATAAGAAACCGTTTTTTTAAACATAACCTAAGGTGATTTTATTTAAAGTAAACACAGATGTGTTTTATATTTAACCTCATTAAAACCACCGGCGACCCGTTGATGTTTAGTGGCGTAAATGCATAAAACTAGTGGCTACTAGAATCACAGTTTTTTTAAATAAATTTATGCAGATAGAGAAATGTGTTGGTTTATCTGAGCCACAGCAAACCTTCTAGCATTGATGGCATGACTGTCCTGCTCTGCCATCTGCGGGGCCCACGGATCTCCTCAGGCTACCAGAGACTCAGATGCATCTCCATCTTCCCCAGTTCTGATTATGAGCCAGACTTGTATTGAGACAGAAACGTGGCCTGAAGTGTGCTGGAAAAAAAATCGAAATCTAGATAAGTCATTTTTTCTTAAAATAAGTGCATTTGTTCTTGAATTGAGGAGGTAAAAGACACATTTTGCTAATGGAAGAAGGCAATTTAGATTTAAAATAAGAAAACGCATTTACATTGTCTTATTTCAACTGCATATTATTTAATTATTTTAAGAGTAAAATTATCATTCCTTTGGAAAACAATCCCATTTACCTATTCAAATTAAGGGTAAATGCATTTAATTCAAGAAAGTTTTACTTATTTCTAGATGATTTGTCTAGTGTGTTAAATAATAACTAGCATCGTGAGACCATCCTGATCTCGCGAGCTTTCAAG